GTGTTTAAAGGGAAAGAACAAAGGGGAACAAAGAAAACGAGTCCAGGGCTGTGGCCAAGACAGACAAACCGTAGATACATGAGCGGGGGGTAGCATATATATATATATATTACAATCACACTATGGTTACAAAGTAATCGGAGCATCCGAGAAGATACAGCATTTGCTTTCATAGCCCAAAACCGGCGAGGGTGGTCCCAACTCCTTCCCCCTTCTCGCCTGCATGTTCATTGCAACTTCAATTGAATCTTGAGTCAACTACGGATCCTGAACCCTGTGAACCCCGAACCATGACTTTGTGCGTTGAGGGTCAAGTCCCCAGCACACCACTCAGGCCCTGCCTATGGGTGCACCATTGAGGATGGCGAAGCAGATGGTTAACACGATGGCAAGTGTTGAGGTCTGGCCAACGATGAACCTGTCTGGATGCTTCTGCCTCCATTTCTGGCATACGCAAGCCTCCTACACGGCCCTACAGTCGATAGATTGAACGGCACAGCGTCACGCCTCTTGAAGACTGCCCAGAATCTCCGTCGGAGCTACATCTTGACTTGCTCTACGATTAGACCGTCGGCTTCGAGCCTCTAAACAAAGGTCGCAACACCCAAAAAGGCAAAACTGAATCCTAACCACAAGAGCCACTCGTCTAAGACTTGCAATCCCGACGTCCTGAGGGCTGGGAGGTCTTGCTGTGTGCCATCACGTTTGGCAGAGCTTGAAATCGTTCTAGAACAGATTGGGCGGGCGCACTTGTGGCTGACAGCGAACACAGGCAATAGTTTAAATTTTTCTGAAGCCCGAAACTTGGCAGATACCCGCAAGTGTCCGGTTGCTGCAAGGGTTCTCCAGCTCTTGGGCTTCCGGGCGATTCAAGCACGGCGCAAACCCGTAGCCGCCAAGACAAGTCATCAGGGGCTTTTAGGATTCTGTTACAAGGAACCGTTTAGCCGGTCGCTCGTTTAGGGTCATACCTTGGTCTCTGAAAATTGTGCTCTCTGTGCACTCTCTGCAAGCTCGAGGCAGAATCGTAGTGATGGCATTCAAGAAGTTGAAGGCCAACCAGGTCCTTGGAAAGGTCTCGGCTGAGGACGCAAGTGAGTGGCTCCCTGCGAGCTCGCGTTTCAGGGCGCAAGAGTATCCAGTCAAGTCAGTGACAGGGCTGGTGTGTACGTCAGGGCGGGGTCGGAGCCATGAGGTTTCGGAATTCGGATCTGTTGGGCCTGAGCAAAACGAAGACAAGTCGACTCAACACCAAAAATTAAAAGACTAACACAACGAAGTGGAAGTAAGCTACGGAAACTAAACAAGTCCTGTTGAGGGTTCGGCATGGGCAAAACTGTGTTAATCTGCTCATTCACTATTCAACTCTACGACCATGGCGACGCATCTACGCCGAAGCTCATTGGAGCCCTCCTGTCTTCCCACACAGGCACGGGGGACTCTCCGAAGATGGCAAAAACCGTTGTCAAATCGCGGCCGTTCAAGGCACAAGCCAGCCCTAAACCATGAAGTGCTCACATTCCACCATTCAAGTTCCAGTAGTCAACTGACTTCAGGCGCTCGTCGTCCTGTGTTCTTTCGGGGGTGTTGTGGTACTGATTTCCTACAGATTCTATCGTAACATTGAGCATTGCATCTTCGCTCCAGCTGGTGCTTGGGAAAAGGTGTCTGCCATACGGGAGACAGACAAAGGGTCAGGCCAACTTTAGCAGCAAGTTTTGGGGCTTCTTTGGGCAGTAGAATGCACTGCGGGATGCCCAGTGCGACCTGTTTGCGTAGACCCGTGAGCTTCCACGTGATGCGACTACTGCAGCTGACACATGCCGATAATAATGATTGGATTGCATGCTGTTACATGCAATTGAGTGTGTCAAGCTGGATAATTCTAGGAAACGCACGCACACACAGACATTTGCATAGAGGGCCGCTGGTAGTCTCCGAAGCCCATCGCCGCACGCTGCCACAGAGGCATGGAAAAGATGGCAGCCAGGAGCATGCAGACGAGGCCAATGCCCAGCCTGTCTTCCCATCGGCCAACCAATGCACTTCAGGAGAATAGTGGCGAAATCAACTGAAGCCGAGCATGCCCCTGCCCAGGGGCCGTGAAGTGTGCGACCCCAACAGGACTGCTCGCAGGAAGCCAAGTATCTCACGATGTGAAACAAGACACAAGACCGAAAGCTGTTGAACCAGATCAAATACACCACGTGAGCGCACCTGCCGTCCCAACGCGATCAACATTCCAGCTAAGCTCTGGGTCTAGCATGGTCTAGTCGTTTGGACTCTGCGGCCTCCTGAAAAAAAACATGTTTCATCTGAATCCTACAAATCCTCAAACCCACCCCTGCGCGTTCTGCATCTGTGGCACAGCATTCTAGAGCTGCATCTGGCGCTGGCGATCGGAATCGGAGGACTACTAACCTGTGGCATGGCTTGAGCATGCAGGTGAGCTCGTCTGACTTCGACCAAGCGGATCGAGAGCGGCATTGCGAATCCGAGTTAAGAAATGTCGCGAATATACAACCTGACTTAGGGACTATGACAGGGTAGTCCTGCTGAGGGTAAGCAGGGACTTGCTCGGGCGACCTGTGGACTGAACCTAAATGACCCTAACTTACGGTAGGACTCATCTTCGGCAGCAGCTCCAGCTGCATCCTCTCACCCGGGGCCTGGCACACCACCTCCGGGGAGATGACATACCGGAGGGTTTCGGCTCTCACACTCGGACAATCCAGGCGAGGCATAAGGTACCACCTGAGGGTTTCGGGGTTTAGGGCGGTACAAGCCAGGCAACCACTCCTCGACGCGATGACTCCCGACAAAGTCTCCGATGGGCATGACAGCGGACCAGGACGCGTTGACTCACGACTGCAAATCGGCTCCTGCAAATTCTCTTGCGACCAGGGTGCTGCACATAAAAGGGAAGCAGCGATGAAAGCATGGCGACGATTGTCTGATCCAGTATCCAAGGAGCGATCATGGCCTGCAGCCGCGCTTGTGTGAGACAGCAGGTCGAAATACGCCGAACATTTATCGTGGTTCTTAACGAGACCACATCATTCATATCGGGCTTTGTCTACTTCATTCAAAGTCTATGAAATTCTAGCTCAGTTGAGCTGGGCCACCCGGAAAGGGCGATTTTGCAGCATTGCCTGGGATGCTCCGATCCGCATGCATGAGCGTCGGCTAAATCTTCAACTTTGGAATGTCTGGAGATTGGTGCAAGTGCTCGTCGAAGGGAAACCAAATTGTATATGAAGCCATGAACAAAAAGCAAGCACGGATGACGGGATAACTGCGAAGGGACATCCGGAGCCAAAGCAAAGCGTTTGCGCTGACCCAGCAGCTGAGACGAATCCGACAAGAAGTTATGCCCGGGAGCCAGGAATCCGGGCAAGATCTCGTCCAACTTCCTGGGCCGAAGAGGACTTCATCACTCTGAGATTCCCTTTCGGATCCTACTTGCCCCAGCGCCGCACACTTCGTTCTGTGGTGTGGAAAGCAAAACTATATGACACGGTCCCCTCAAGGCAGCATGGCAAGCGAATTTCGGAGTATCTCCATTTTCGGCAGTTCAGCAAAGTATTTTCTCTCAGGCCGAGGGTTCCCCAGGCATTTTTCTTGTCAAGCAATCAGATCCTGGTAGGGTTCAAGGTAGCTTGGCTGGATGCTCTTGTCGGGGCTGGTTTTGCTAAAGTGCCTTGTGGAAGTAATTGCTTAGCCAATGTCCTCTTTTCGAGCGCCTCAGCATACCCTAGCCAGACACGTCAATCAAGTAGAGAAGACAGCAGAATGATTCAACCTAGTTTTCAATGCACGAACACAAAAACAACAGAATAAAAAATTTCTTTCGCACACAGGGGTGACAGGGGAGCAGGGGCACAGGGTGGCAAGAAACCGTGCGGAACACTCCTTCAGGGGTTGTGCAGTTGTGCGTGATCAGGCACCTGTCGGGCGTGCTTATCTTACGGCAAATGGAGCCAGCTGGCTTGCAGCCAAAGCGGAGGCCGAACAACCTCCCTAAGATTTACCAGCTGCAGCCCCGAAGGCTTCTGGAACGTGCTGTCTCGCATTTGCCCGAAGAATCCACTGGGAGTTACAGCGGCTACGGCACCCTGAAGCCTTCAAGTCCCTTCTACGGCTTGCTTCTGAGAGGATACGACCCTTCCTGAACGGCATCACTATGTATCTACAGACACATGCTGTTGACGCGACGTGCCATACTCAAAGTGCGGTGCCCAAGCCTGCGAACTGTCGCAGTTGTAATCACTGCTAGTATTCTGCCAAAACCTCCCTCAGTGTTTCTCGACGGTTCCAAGATGGTGAGCACATGATTGTTGTCCCTGGAGCCACTACAAAACACCCTAGCCATATGTAAGAGCCATGAAGCCAGAACCCTCAAAAGGCCAAAGCAACTGGGCGAACAAGGGAAATAGCAAGTACCAACAACTGGTCTTCCGATAAACATCAGTTTTCCTGCTACGGTCTGTGTGTGTCTTTCCAGGGCCCCTTCGTGTGACCTTGGGTGGGCATGATGCTTCTGAGACGCGTGATGGTCGGAGAATTTATCTAATCATTATGTCATTATGTGTTTTCTACGTTTGCCGTTTTTTTTTTTTTTGTGGGGGGGCTGCCCATTGCTCTTCCCATTACTATTACTATCACTAGTAGTATTACTATTACTAGTACTCTTACTCTTACTATTACTATTACTCGTACTGGTACTACTACTGTTACTCGTACCGGTACTACTACTGTTACCTAGTTTCAGTACTAGTTTTGGTATTAATATAGAACACTAGTACTAGTAATAGTCTTAGTATTAGTATTAGTATTGATATTACTATCATTATTATTACGATTACGATTACGATTACTATTACTATTACTATTACTATTACTATTACTATTACTATTACTATTACTATTACTATTACTATTACTATTACGGATGCTATTACCATTCACTATGTACTACCACTACGACTAGTACTACTAGTACTGCTGGTACTACTACTACTACGACGACGACGACGACTACTACTACTGCTATGCACCGGGCTCGTAGCCGCCGCTATGAGCAAAGTCGCGAAAATGTAGCAATGCAGGAAATGCCGTAAATTACAGTACTTTTTTGTTGTTTCAGAGATGTGATAAACTATGTAGTTTGTATGCGAATTAACTTCTTCGGATTTGATACAGGAAGCTGAAAGTTGTCTTTTCCAACGGAATTGTGTGCGGTCATGGCGATTTGGGGCAGAGATTTTCGGGTAAATGGCGCTGGTATTTCTTGAGGATTTCTGAGTAGGAAGCCGGTATGCCACTGCCACCACCACTACTACTACGACTACTTCTTCTTCTACTGCTACTGCTACTGCTACTGCTGCTGCTGCTGCTGCTGCTGCTGCTGCTGCTGCTGCTGCTGCTGCTGCTGCTGCTGCTGCTGCTGCTGCTGCGCTACTGCTCCTGCTCCTGCTACTGCTACTGCTACTACAAGGAGTTTTCGGTTACCTTAGTGGTTTAGTTTTTCATGAAGTTTATCTATGTGAGAACATCAGACTCCAAAGTCATGTGTCCATAGTGTTGGATAGCTTCCCACTTCACCTCAGGTGCAAGACCCGAAAGCCTCAAACACCAATCAATGATGGACCCTGTCGATCGCCATGTTCCGCTTCTGGCGTTATTGGCCGTGCGCCTTGAGCTTGATTCTTCTTTTGCGAGAAGAAGGTGTGCCGCTACCGGCTGCATTGGGCAACTTCCTGGTGCAACCCGTCTGGGAACTGGAGCAGGTGCTAGAAGTGCTTTTGGGCGCCAGAGATCCTGCAAGTGCAGAAAGCGCTGTTTTGATGGTCTTGGTCTATGAATCGTTGTCAAACCGGAAGGGCTCGCTGTGTCGCGCGTGCATACACGGCTCTCTTGCGGACTGGTCGCATGAAAGCGCAGACATGCTCGTGCGGGCACCGATGCGCACGTCATTAAGCCCCTCCCCCACCCGCCCCCCACCCCACCCCTGCAGCAAAGCTGAGCGCCATTGAGCAAAATAGCGGAATTTGTGGGGGCGCCGAGAGGGCCCAGTCTCTACTACTCCTCCTCCTCCTCCTCC